TTTCTTTTCTCCTTCCCCTCATCCCTGTTTTTTTCCAATTGAACAGTTTCTTTCACTTTCACAATACCTATTGTACTTTGAACATTTTATTTACTCTTTCAGGTTCTTACACTAGGGAGCCAATACAACGTTTACACATACAGGTCTGATTTATTCCACGTATAAGTATGGTCTCTTCTGAGAATAGCCTCACTTCTAAGTACGGTCTCTTGTTGCATCCAGTTACCTATAAAAGCCTCCAGTGTATCTTTCTTTATAACTCCATTGTATAAAAAGACCACATCATTTTATCCATTCCTCAGTTGATGGGCATCTGCATTGTTGGCAAGATGTAGCTATGACACATAGTGCTGCTGTAAACATGGGTGCACATATTCCATACGGCTGTGGAATGATGGTTTCAGTTCTTAATTTTTCTTTCTTTCCCCCCTCGGTGTTGGGCACTGAACTCAGGACCGTGTGCATCCTAAGCAAGCACCATGCCACTGCGCCTTACTCCTAGACCTCCCTCTGGCCTTTCATCTTTATCTCAGTAGAGGCTATTTTTTCCTTATTGATAAGTTTCATATTTGATCATATTTCTGCTTTTGGATAGCTGCTACAAAGTATATGCTCAAAGTTATAGCCCAGATCTCAGAAGGCATATAATCTTCCTGATCCACATTTTGAGATTAGCCTCATTTTTAAACTCATACTATTTTTCTATTTTTGTTGTCTTTTTTATAATTTCAAATTTGATTTTATCTGACTAAAATTCCTACTGTATAGGCCATGCCTGTACACAAAGTGGGATATATATACGTAAGACTAACAAATGTCTCTACTTCCAGGGCTACAAGGGCAGATAGGTTGCAAAATGGCTACCTGTTGGTGTGTGGTGTCCACATTGGAATAGGGGACGGAGACAATGACATCGTGTGTCTCACAGCTTGCCATCTAAGCAAGGTGAAAATGCTCATTGCTATACAACAGAATCCAAACGGAGCAAAGACATTTACTAAGAGAACAGCATTTCTGGTTTGTGGCCCAGTCACTGAAGCCATGGAGTCCACGTTTCTGTTAGGTGAGGTTGAAAGAGAGGCCACAGAATTGACAGTTTCCCAAGAAGGGAAGAGGCAAACGCACCGCCTGGGGCTGCTGTCACTTGAGAGAGAAGGGAATGTGCGCCTGTACAGCTGGGACGGTAGTTTCATCTGCTGCTGCCTCTCCCTGGGAAAGCTACAGTGAGAGTGGCCTACAGTCCTCTTGTGCAGAGCAGAAAAGCTCCCGAGCTTCAGCTTGGCTTGAGATACCCTATCTCCCAGGCATACCTGAGATAGCAGGGAAGTGCCGACACTTTTATTTCTCACAAACCCAGAGGCTGGTTTCCTCTGGCTCATTATGCAGACCCTCTGGGGCAGATTGTGGCTCCAGAGTACAGTACATGGTGGGCAGAGCCCACACCCCTCCACTTCTGGGCATCAGGGTACACTAATGACTTTGCAGGGCAAACTTCTGCTTCGTCCTTTCGGGTTCTGCAAAGCCATGAGCCTCTTGTGTCTCACTTCTCCCGCGGGGGGTTGGTGAGGAAGGCTTGTCCTGTGGCAAGTGGTCCTGCTATCTCAACTCCTACCTCAGGGCCTCCAGCTCCTACCAGCCTGCTAGGACCTATAGTCCCAGCTATATGTATGGTTTTGTGACAAATGATTCAGTCTGGTCACTGAGACTCAGTTCTGCTCCATGTTCTGCACCAGTCCTGGTGTCTTGGACACCCCCTTGCCCTCTGCTGTTTCACAGGAGTCCAGAGCAGTATTTTCTAAATCAATTCTCCAAGTCTATCCAGTGCAAACTGGTACAAAGCCATTAATAACGTGATTGAATCTAGGACTGCATTCCTCTTCCCAGGACAAGCTAGACTGCAGAATTTTTGCTCCTTCCTCCCCCTTCACAGGAGACTTTTGACTGCGCAATGAGTGAAACAGGTGGGGTGAACCTGCTGGTGCAGTCCAGTGCAGTGTGTTGAGGTCAGGTTTGGGGAGACTCCCAGGTTGCAGAACTCTAAGCTAAATAAATGCACAAATTTACCCATGCACCTCTGCCGACACATACTCCACCCAACGCAAACACTGGGAAGGAAGGTTTACCTTTCTTAGAAGTTGCAGCTCTAGGTTCTGAGCGTCCAGACTGCAACTGCAAACCCTGTGCTCTAAAAGTATCTTTGAACTTGAAGCGTCTTCCCTGGGTCTCCTCTAGTGGGGGCCACGAGTACACGATTTCAGACACTCGGTTGGCGATGGAAGCAACTCTGGGGTCCACAGCTGAAAGAAGACAAAATGATGATGAGAACACTGTGCAGAACGGCATCTGCCTTATTGATATGCACAGCAGTGTAGAGTGATGAGGATACCCCAGAAGGAGAGGAGGGGATTCAGGAGTGTGTGTGTGGGCTCTTCAAAGAGGACTGGCAGTTACTGGGCAGACGCTGGGATGCGGCAGAAGTGTAGAGAGGAATGTTCCCACCCTGAAACAACTGCCCTTCGGGTACCCTGCCCTTGCAAAGTGAGGGTCCCTTTTTCCCTCTGCAAGGAAAGAATCACAAAAGGGAATGCTTGGTCCTTTGTTTGAGGCAATGCTTATTCTATTTTTACTTTCTGGTGGATACATCTTGTTTCATGAAGAGCTGTGCCCTATGTGCACAGGACAGCATTCAACAGACTGCCAAACATTTGGAGCTTTGTCACTGGGGAAGGAGAAATATCCCCATCATCTGGCCAACGCTATCTCCCAAGTTCATGACCAAATAAACATCAGCTGGCCTTGCTTGCTTTTACAGTCTCTCCATGTCTACTTCCTCCACATCTACCGGAAAGCACTCAATTAACGTAGGGTGCATAGAGTGACTGAGTGTGGATGCCTCTAACAGAGGGATGGCAGAATTCTATGGATAACTGTTGGCTTCCTAGAGTTTCCATGTCAGACTTGACTTACACCACTTTGGCCTTCATGTATGGGAGAGGAAAAAGGTAATCCTGTATTTATTTATGTATTTGGTACAGGGTCTCACTAAACAACTCAGACTCATAATGAGCCTCCTGTTTTCAGCCTCCCCAGTGTAGGGATTACAGGTGTGGGCCACCACACCCTCTTGGTGGCTGGCTCAGCACACCCAGGGGCAAGGCCAGGGGGGCATGTGTTGCCCAGGATAAAACCTGTCCCTGTGCTTGCCTAAGCGGGTGCTTAGTCCACTGAGCTATCTCACTGGCCCTTATTAAAGCTATAGTTGTTTAGATTTTCCACTGTATTTTTTGATTTTTCTTACTACATGTCTGCAGTACCTATTTACATTCCTTGTGGCTTGATAATATACATAACACACCCTAATTCTTTTTTCCATCGTCTCTCCTGTCCTCCCTGCATCTCTTGTATCTTGCTGAACTAAGCTTAAGCTTAACATTCCACATATGGAGGACCATGGCTGTGGAGAAACAAGGAGCAAAAGCCCATGGTTTAGTATTCTCTAAGACTGGTGTTATTATCGCTTTCCTTGTATCTTAAAGCCTCTTACTGGTAGGCTCTGATTATAACCTTGCAGTTTCCATCTCAAGCCTGGTATCTGAGTCCTGGGAAAGAGAGTAGGCTAAGTTGTGGCCTTTCACGAGCAGAATCCATGGGAAAATAACTGCTGAACTCTGGCTGTTATAGAACAACAAAGAAATGGACTACGAGGCTCCTTTGGGTCACACCCAATGTAAAGCCAACACAATTAGCAGAAGAACCACATCATTAACCAGTTAAGCAAGAAGGGATGAGAACTGTGAGAAGACAGCCTTAGGAGACAATCATTTCTACTTTTTAAAGAGAAATTTCTATACATGTATCAAACATATATATATATATATATATATATATTCATTTGTTGAACAGTTTCAAGAAAGCATTCTAAAAATGAGCAGTCATGTAGCAAGAAGGCCCCCTCTGACCTTCCCTTTTCTTCCTGCTTAAAAAGTACATGATGGCTGAAGCCCCAGGAGCCACCTTAGAATGTAAGTGGCCACTTCCTATGTGTCTGTGTGTATGTATAATTATAGCTCTGTATTATAGTTATATGTGTAAGTATCCAGCCTCAGAGACTAGTCAGCAAATAAACCTGTTTCTAATTTAATCTTGTATTCTCAATCTCACATACAGTTTAGCTTGGTAGGCCCTCGGCTGCCATCCCCACCATCATTTTCTAAACAACTTTAGGAGAAAGAAAAGAAAAACAAACAAAATAACAGATCAAGTGATACTTCAGTAAATGTCCAAACAGAGTGTCATTTGTCCCAGAAAAACCAGGACGAAAGCCACTAAACGCCTTTCTCCCAGCCTACCCTCAAAGCAAGGCATAGTCAAGGCTGTGTCCGCTGAGAGCGAAGAGCCGCCAACCCTCACCATCCACCTGTGCACACCTGGGAGGGCCCCTGCTGTCCTTGCCCTGAGAGAGGTGAGGCTGGTGGAGGGGACATGGGCAGGACACTGGAATCTGCTCCCTGCACTCCAGAGTCAGTGTTGAAACCCCCAAGTTTGGAGAACAGACTCATCTGGCAAGGTTAACCACAGCCCCAGTGAGGACCCCTGTGTCCTCTGGCCCCCGACCCCTGCTGTGCTGCCCCTGGCCAGCCCCCTTCCGCCCTCCTGTGGGTCTCTTGCTGCCTCCTGTTACCTGGGCAAAGGGCCCCCACCTCTGATTCTCCTGGCTGAAATGTCTGCAACTAATGGGAAGGGATTTTTTTTGATCACAGCAAACGGTTTACAGCTGTCCGCAGGTGGGCAGATTCCCCAAGAAAGCCGGGTCGTTCTAATATTGAGCCATTACTGCCACCTGTTGACCAGTTATCAGCAAGTCACCCAGGCCAAGTGAACCCAGCAGGAGGGGCTTTTCCTTATAGCATGGGCTCTGGGTATGGCCTTGTGGGGGGACTACGCTTCTGCGGCGGTTATGGAGGAAGTTCCTGTCCTATGTTAAAGCCCGTAGTGAAACATCTTCAATACAACTGATTTTGTCCCAGTGATGGGAAATTTTATTACTGCTTCTTTGTTGTTGTTGTTGTTTTTAGTGTGGTTTGGATCTTTCAAAGTATCTTTGCATCTGTCTTATCTTCTTATCAACCTTAAGAAGCAGGACACTCCCAATGTACACAAGGAACAAACTGGGGGTCCCAGAGGTCAGCTATCGCAGGAAAAGAGGCAGCCTCTGCCCTCATGTGGCTCTCGGGCACTAAGGACTAGGAACATGGGCAGCAGGCTTATCCATAAACAGTGGGGCCGAAGGACCAAGTCCACCCTCCACTACCACCTGCTTCCTTTTGGCATAGTCCTAAGAAAAGCAGGGTGATTATTCCAGAACACGGATCAGTTGGAAAGCCAAGGCCAACAAGCGCCCCACCTAAGGCCTTAAAGGACAGGAGAGATGGAGTGCTGTGCATGCAAGGACAGGGAAGATTTGGGGGTGGAAGAGGAAGAAGTCCCCAAGCCTACCTTCACTCTCCATGTGCTGTGCCACGTTGGAAAGGGACTTGGACCATTGCTGACCGCGGTGTCCAGCCTGAGGTATCACTGGTCCTTCGGACTGAAATTCCACTAGTCCTTGGGCCTCAGCACGGATCTCCCTTGGTGAGCTCTGTGGCTCTTCCTCCTTCTCTGTTACTCCAAATAGTGCTCTCCAAGAATACTTTCTTTTGCCCAGGTTTATGTCCTTCTCGCTGGATGAGGAATTTCTGTAAGGCCACACCTGTGTCCATGACTCGGCTGACCGATTCCCCAGGCCCTGCTGGGACAAGCTTCTTGTTCTCAGCATCTTGGGTGAGGTGACAGCAGGGGGCCTCTTGAAGACATGGTGTTTGGCATAGAATGCCAGGATTTTGAATTCTAAGCTGTCTGGGTCATCGTCGTCTAGGGGCACATCTTCCAGGTCACACACACTGGTACTGCACATGGTGGACCTGTAACGACAAGGTCCACAGGTGTCCTCCTGTGTGTATGGGCCCTTGGCCTTTCTAGGCTAGGAGAGACAGGACGAGCACTCGGGACACATCTCCTGAGCACCTGTTCTATTTTCCAAGGGAACTGGTGGAAAATCCAAAGTCTTACTGGAATAGGAGGAGACGCGGGTATAAATATCTCCAAAGGAAGATAATGAGTTATGAGCTGCAGTGGAGATGCAGATGGCCAGTACAGAGAGATGGGACAGGGACAGGTTACCTTCACACAGAGGGGCGATGAGTGAAGGCTTTTGGAAGGACAGAGGTTCAGGCAGGCGGGCAGATACTCAGACTAAGAACTCAATACTGACTGGCCTGAGAGTAGGCTTTGCATGACTTGAGGATCTGTTTTTTTCTGTTTCATTTTGTTTGATGTCTTTTTGAGACAGGGTCTCACTATGGAGCCCAGGGTGACTTTGAATTCACTAAGGCTGGCCTCAGGCTGGCCTCAAACTGACAGTCCTCCTGCCTCTGCCTCCTCATGGTCTACCATGCCTGGCTTAAGATGTGTACACTCTAGTGCAGTGCAGTGAGGGTGAACGTTGTAGAGCTTTCAGTGATAACAAACAGCTGGCTTTGGCACGCATGCCATAGCTTTGCCACCACTGCTACAGCGTAAGCATTTGAGGATAGCCAGCGCTCAGGAACGGCTGTATGTGATAAAGGGCAGTGGAACCAGACCATGGGGGCCTTTCAATTTCAGGCTGGGAGCTTTGAATTTTCTCATTTCAATCAGTCTGAGGCTACAGGGAGGGTGGGTGAGCAAAGAAGGAGCAATGTCTGAACCCCTGCCAGTGTCCTTCCTCTGTCCTTGTCCTGTACCCTCTGCTGTAACTTCTCCAGGTTTGCCTCTGTTTGGTACGACAGGTAAGATTCCGTCTGATCAAAGCATCCTGTTATTGTCATGGTGCAGGGGAGGAACCCTGGGCTACATCCACCGCTGACACTCCAGCTCTATGAGAATGGTGTTATTATTTTATATGTTTAAAAAGTTCTGATGGAGGGCTTTTCCACGTCCTGTTGGGCGGGCGTTATTATCACAGGCTTGCTTTAGGAGGATTCCTGGAAGCCCTAACATGGCAAGGGTGGAAGTGTTTTTTTTTTTTTTTTTTGGTGGAACCGGGGCTGAACTCAGGCCCTTGCGCTTGCTAGGGAAGCACTTATTCCACTGAGCCATCTCCCCAGCCCATGGGTGGAAGTGTTTCACCCTGACTCCCACCTAAATAACTGTGCGTATGTAATGAACAGATCTTGTTCAATTTTTCTTGCTTATACTTTCATAAAATAACTTCCTTTCTGGTTTTCTGCTAGGAAAATATTTCTCTTTGCTAATCACCTACTTTGTTTTCTTTAGTTATACATTAAGGACTACAATTTTTTTTTCTTTTTTCTTTTTTTTTGTCTCAGATGATATAAGACTCAGATTCCCTATCTCTCACTGGATTAAAAATTCAAAGTAAAAAAAAAAAAATTCAAAGTCTCTGGATGTTCTTGCAAATGACCTGGGCTTCTCAGTCTTGAGTTCAAATCCTAGGTAATCTAATAGCTAGTTTTGTGATCTTGAGCAGGTTCCCTTTCCCTTACCTTTTTGAATTTGAGCTTCCTGTAGGTGAATTGTGAATCATAAAGTCATTATGGGGGTACAAGACACTGCCCCAGAAGTCCTGCTACCCAACCTTGTACAAAGCTATGTATTATTTTCCTATGGTCATGGATGAACCAATTAATGACAGGGACACATTTTGAGAAGTCCACTGATGGGCAGGTTTTTTTTTTTTTTTTTTTTTTTATTCTGGATTTTTTTTTTTTTTTTTTTTTAAGATGTTGACGCACAGCTGAAGTCCTCCAGATTAGGCTTCAACTTGTAATCATCCTGCTTAGTCTCCAAAACTGCTGGAATTATAAGCACATTCTGCCACGACTGGCTGAGCAATTTCAGCATTGGGCAAACACAGGGTATATTTACACAAACTAAGAGGGCTGTGACATCACTAGGAGATAAAATCCTATGGAATTACCCTTGTATGTGGACTCCATTATTGACTGCAACCTTGCTATGTGGTGGCACACGACTGTACAACAGTCGTCCAGGCCCATGGGCTCTGGCCCTGGCATGCTCTTAATCATGTACCCTCCTCTTCCTGGCCTCTTCCCTCCTGGTCTTTTGGCATGTAAGCTGGTATGCTAATAAGCTGTAGTGATGGTATTAGGGTGGACAGGCACAGTGCTCCTTTGCTTTCCATAGTCCCTGTCTTACCATGACCAACCTGTAAAGAAATGGGACAGTAACTGCAGATAGGATTTGAGGTGGTACAGACAAACTAAGTAGATGCCTGCAGGACGCAGGGCCAGGGTCAGGCAACTTCTACCTCACCACATCCCCGGGCATGTCACTTAGTGTCTTTGGTCATTGGTTCCCATACAGACAGGATAGGCCGAGGGACTTGAGACAAGCAGGGGTCTCAGCCAAAAAGAGCACAGCCATGTAGGCTCAGTCAGGGGTCATAACTGTGTGGGAGAGGCAGGATCCCGGGAAGAGACCAGAGCTGGGATTTCTCAAGGGAAGATTCGTGAGTTTCTCATTAGGAAGCTTCTAAATTGGCAGCACTGAGCACAGCAGGCTGGCACTGTTGGGGTCCTGGAGGAGGTGTGTATTGAGGACGGAGGGCGGCTGGCACTGTTGTGCTTCTGAAGAGATGTTCATGGAAGTTAAAAACCCAAACCAGACCTTTTAATATTGCGTTAAACCTTTCAAATAGGATGTGCGTGTGTGCGCGCGCACACACACGCATGCACGTTGGAGAGAGGCAGGGGCCGACTTCTCTGGGAAATAGGTTTTCTAAATGCTGCTTCAGGAGTAACATTAGAAAGTGGAAAATCTACCATCGTTAAGATTGGGCATAAAGTCCTCCTCCCTTGTAGAAAAACCCTTTGCTATCTGCCTAGAAAGGAACTGGGGACACAGTCCACCCACCAAGCAATACAAAGTGTGAAAAAAAAAAAAAGGGGAAAGACAGAATGCTCAGGAATGGCCACCTATGAGGAGAAAAGGGCGGGATGCGGTTGAAAGAGCCTGGGTACATGTGGGTGAAGGGAACTATGGAGAATAGAGGTATTAGAAAAGACACTATGCACAGAACAAGTTTTCCTCTTACTAAGCCTCTTTACAAGTTAAGGGAAAGCTACTGTTAAATTGATAGCCAAGTCTTCCTTTAAAGCCATATTATGTGAAGGAATTTATCACAGTTTTTTTAACGCACCCTCTGTCAGCAATTCCTACTGATATTTTACCTGAAGAAGTCTAACTTCTGGACCCATAGAAAAGTGGACTATAAACGTTCTGTTTATGGAGGCCTTGAGCCTTGGTTCCAAACCCCGAGATAGGAGGGTTTAGCTCCTGTAGGAAGTTTATTCTATGAATTTTATTCTAGGTCAGTGGCTCTGAGACCCAACCCTCTTCCTACCAGTCCACATTTTCTTTCTTTCTCCTTATCTATGACAAAACTACCCAGCCAGAGGCAAGGTTATACACCTTCGTTTGTTGGATCCCCAAATGACCATGGCCTAAGTCCTCCGGTGTCCCCCTCCCATGTCCTTTGGGAACACAGGTGCATGGCCCTGACCTGAGTTTCTCCTGAAGTCCTCCTACCTGCAGCAAGCACCTACACTCCAGGGATTGCCGCACACACTGGGATTTTTCTCGCTCTGAGGAGTCCTATGTGGAGTGAGATTTTACTTACCTTCCCATGGCAAGTAATGGGTAGACACACAGGAAATAACAACAGGATGACTCGGTCTTTTCACATATAGAGGCTGCTGTGACCCAGTGCCTAAATTCTGCTGCAGATGGAACCTATGCTTGGTCCTTGTCACCTCTGCCTGTCCCTGAAGTGAGAATCATGGAAAAACCCTTGGTGAGCCCCTGACTTCCGTTCACTGGACTTTTGAGCTTCCGGGTGTTGATGTTCCTCCTAGACAGAAGTTTCTAGGCTGACTCCTAAACTCTGTTTTTTCAGGCTCATCTTCAGCTCCCTGGACCCCTTCTGCCCACAAGGTTGTCTGCTGTCTTCTCACTCCAGCCCTCTCTGTGCCTTTCTTCTTTGTCTTGTCTGTCATTGTTGAGTATAACATGCTCTTTCAGCCTTAAGGGGAAATGAAGACTGGTATACAAATCCCTTAAATTCCTAGAGTAGAACCTGATTTAGGTTGTATTTGTCAAACAGAAGAGCTACGACTCTGTGAAAAGAAGCTGGCTTTTTTGAGGGTTGGAAGTTGTTATCTGCCTTTACCTGGGTGTAGTGTTCAAGGAAGTTTCTAGGGAGTCTAACAGGACCTGGATGAGCACCCCAGGGAAAGCCCAGGGATCCCTGCCTTGGGCCTCCAGCCCTGCTCTAGGAGAGGGGCCAGCATATGCCTGGTCTCCAAGTAGGCAGAGGCACTGGCCACTGACGGGCTGTTGCACTGTCACACATCTTGTTCTATGGGTACCAAAAGAGGACCATTCAATACTGAAAAGGACTTGGCCAGCTATATATATTCTTTACTTAACTATCTAAAACTCCATGTAGCAGAAAGAGAAATGAAAGAGAAACCTTCATATCCCTTTTCTCCCCCTTTCCTGGAAACTCTAGTTAACTAGCTTCTCAGTGTCTCTTTGTATCCTGAGACTGACCGCTAAGAACTTGGTAATAAGCCTGGTCAATGGCTCCCTGAGTCAGGTTGCCTTCTTTGGGGAATTTGGAAGGAATTTGGAAGAAGCCCAACTCTGTCCTCCTGAAAGCTGTGAAGGCACCTGTTGCCTTCTGGGTTACCTGTTTGAGGCTGTCACTGGCTTCTGCTTCAGGTCAGGTGGCAGGTGGCTATTTCTATGCCTTGGTCTCTCCACAGAGACTCCTGGAGAGGAAACTTCCCACCGGTCTTCCTGTCTTCTCACTTAGAAAAGCGTCCGTGACTTACAGCCCCAGGCTATCGTTTGCTTAGGTTTAAACTAAGGCTGAAACTAGGATCAGGGAAAGAGAGCCACTTCCTCATTAAGCCCCACCCTGGGCTCCTTCACAGAAGGAGGGGCCAACCTTTGCTCCTGTAATTTGACTCTAAAAGGAATTTTGCATCCTTCATCAAACAACTTTCATTGCCCTTAGGAAAAACTACACTCCTGTGTGTGTGTGTGTGTGTGTGTGTGTGTGTCCCCTTAGACTCTATTTTAAAATAATCTCCGTGGAGAGACTAAGGTATAAAAACAGCCACCTGTCTCTTGACCTGAAGCAGAAGCCAGTGAGAGCCTCAAACAGGTCACCCAGGAGGCAGTAGGCTCCTTCACAGCTTTCAGGAGGACGGAGTTGGGCTTCTGTCCAGTTTAACAAATGTTTACTGACCAGTTAATACAGTAGCTGCTGTAATCTTAACAACACTGAGAGGCGGGCATTAGGATTTCTGCTTTGCAGGTGAGGGAGCTGTAGCTTGGGGAGGTAAAGAATCTTGCCCTTGTCAGCTGAACTGAGATCCAAACCCTGGTTTTGGTAGCTCTACTTTATATCATGCTATCGCTCCTGAGTCTCAAAAATTATATTCAAACGGTGCCACTGAAAAAGCGTTACAAAATGAATCTAACTGCAGCCACAGTAAAAGCCACAAAGACTCATCTAAAGACATATATCTCTAATTTAGGGATAGGAGTCCCTATCTAAATGAAGTAAGAAACAGTTAAATATGATTGTATTCTCTAATCAGAGATTTTTAAAATTTTTTATTTTATTTTAGCATCAGGAATCAAACTCATGACCTCGGGCTTTCCAGGCAGGCCCTGTTCTGCTGATCTATATTCCTGGCCCTAACAGAGATCCTCAATGGAAGTGGGTATTTATGGTTGTCCTTGAAAGCATGAAAACTTGAGCATGGCTGGTGGAAAAGTGAAGATGGAGGAGGCAAGAATCAAAGTAGAAGGAAGACTAGTTATTTAAACTCTAGGTAAACAGATCAAGGAGAGACAAATTGGCGGCAGTTAGATCAGGGAAAGTTAGATCTTGGCTACTCAAAGTGAATTTTCACCAGCATAATATATATTGTACATAATTGCTCCACTATGGTCAATGTAGAGGATATTAAAGAACTTATAAACCAGGCATGGTGGCTCATGAGTCTAATTCTAACACTCTAGGAGGCTGAGGCAGGGGAGTTGCAAGTTCCAGGTTGGGGAAATTTAGCAAGATTCATTAGCAAGATTCAGTCTTAAAAAACAAAAGAGTCAGGCTGGGCAGATAGGTCAGTAGAATAAGCACTTGCCTGGCAAGCACAAGGGCCTGACTTCAATCCCTGGTTTCGCCAAAAAGCAAAAAACAAACAAAAAACCCAAAAGAGCCTTTTTACCAAGATGGCACCAAATGCAAAGAAGGAAGCCCCTGCCCCTCCCAAAGCTGAAGTCAAAGCAAAAGCTTTGAAGACCAAGAAGGCCGTGCTGAAAGGCATGCACAACCACTAAAAGAAGATACGAACGTCACCCATCTTCCACCATCCCGAGACACTGCGGCTCCAGAGGCAGCCCAAATCCCCTCAGAAGAGTGCCCCCAGGAGAAACAAGCTTGACCACTATGCCATCATCAAGTTCCCCCTGACCATTGTCAGCCATGAAAAGGATTGAGGCCAACAACACACTCATGTTCATTGTGGATATCAAGGCAATAAGCACCAAATCAAACAAGCTGTAAAGAAGCTCTATAACATCGATGTTGCCTGGGTCAATACCCTAATCAGGCCTGATTGACAGAAGAAGGCATATGCTCGACTAGCTCCCGATTATGATGCATTGGATATTGCCAACAAAATTGGGATCATTTAAACCGAGTCCAGCTCGCTAATTCTAAATATATGCTACTTTTTTCCTGGTAAAAAAAAAAAGAAGATAAATATAAAATGGGAATGTAGTTTAGGGTATAGTGCGGGCTCAATCCCCAGTACTACTCCCCAAAAAACTGAGAATGCTTTTCCTCTTTAAATACCTTAGCAATCAGGATGGGAAGTATAGATCAATAGTAGAGCATTTCCCTAGCATATTTGAGACACTGGGTTTGACGCCTAGATAAAACAAAATGTTCATACACTTCTACAATTTTGTGGGGGAAGATGAGATATTATATATTTATTTCAATAATTTAATATAGTCAGTTTAACATACACTCAATAACTAAATTCCAGGATATAGACTACAGTTGTTTTCAGAGTTCAGAGTTGGCTAACTAAACAGCTGTTGGCTGAGACCAGTAAGAATCCTCAAAGGCCTTAGTTCAAGGTCAACTGTGAACCAAGGAAGAGGCAGAAACCCCTTATCCAGTTTCACTTCCCACCTCCTGCACCTGACAAGCCAGCACATCACAGAGACCAGGCTCAACATATGTGATTAAAAACCCAAATTAAAAACTTCTTGTTGGGCCAGCCAAATAGCTCAGTGGATTAAAGTGCCTGCAAGCAGGCTCAGGGGCCAGGGATGCAATCCCCAGGTGTGTCGTGCCAGCCCCACCCACAGGGCATGCTGAGGGGGCGACTGAGACTGGGCATGATGGCACGCGCCTGTAATCCCAGCACTTGGGAGGCTGTAAACAGGAGAATCACTACAAGTCTGATCTAGTAGTGAGACCCTGAACACACTATAGACCCTTCCCTAAAATACAAAAAAAAAAAAAAACAAAAAAACAAACAAAAAAAAAAACCCAAAAGCTGCTTTTCTCCCAATTCTAAAAATATGCATAGTGTTGTATGAAAAAAGACTTGTAAAACCTAACACAACATCCATAGAAAAATAAGGGTCACTTAGGGGCCGGGGAGATGGCTCAGTGGAATAAGCACTTCCCTGGCAAGCACAAGGGCCTAAGTTCAATCCCCAGTTCCGCAAAAAAAAAAAAAAAGAAAAATAAGGGTCGCTAGAATCCAGTCGTTCATTCATCCAATGAGAGCTACTGTTGAACACTTGGTGGGTTTATTTCTGCTATGGGTCTGGTGGCTGCCAGCCTTTGTTGTCCTTTCTCTTCACACTGCCCCTGGCAGGGTCCTGAAGTTGCCTTCCCACAATAGGCTCCTCTGGCTGAGGACATTGTTAGGAAAACTCTCTGCCCTCCTCTCCCTTTGCTTCTGGAAGGCAGGGATTCCGCATACCTGGAGCCAACTCTAAATCAGCACCAGAAGAATCTGCGCAGCACACCTTGCTAAAACATCCCCAAATCTCCATTTCCTCAGGGCTGCCCCTGCGAACTTAAAACCCCATCTGCACTTGAATCTGAATCTGACTGACAAAACAGTGCTGGTTAGCCTAGCAGAGCCAACAGGAACCTTGGGCAAATTATGTTCCTCTTGGTTGTGATTTTTCAGAGTGTTCTGGCATAATCCGCAATCAGTTTTTAAAGATAGGTGAACTTTCTTGGCTGCAGGCTCCAAAGAAGTATAACAATAACAGCCACCATTTTACCGACTCCAGGCCAATTCATAACTTGGCAGCATGGTAGAAGAGGAAACTGAGGCACAGGATTTAGTAGATTGCTCAGTCTGACTCAACCATGTGGAACAAAGCCGGGATCTGAGGGATTGGGTTCTTCAGAACCCATGATCCTAACCACTGTCCCTGACCATCTTAACACTATTTAGATCTATCCTCTTGGTCAGTGATTTTTGTCTTTTTTTTTTTTTTTTTTTTTTTTTTTTCTGTTTTGGACCCTTTGTCACTGCCTTTCGACTTCATAAGGAAAAGTTGCAAGATATAAAATAGGCTAAAGAGATTATGTGGATGTTATTTCAAAGGAATTCTGGGAGATTCAGGGATTGCTTGGACAGAGATGTGTCCCTTTGCTTGCTTGAGAGCAGGTTATTTCATCACTCCAGATAAACTCATAGAAAACATAGTATAGCAAATAATCACTCCCATTAAAATAAAAGTTTGCTCTTGTGGAATGCAATAGTTTATTGCCCTGAAGATACTGACCAGCCTTTCTGGTTTTGCCTGTTTGTAGATTCATTTCAGTATTTCTTATCTGACTATAAATGTGTAGTAGTTGGAGTTCTCCTCTGAGGTCACTATAATATTAAGAATATCTTTTCTTTTTTATCCAGTACCAGAGATTGAACTCTGGACCTTGCACTTGCCAGCCAGGCTCTTAAGGCTCTGAACTATGACCCCAGCCCACTGTAATATTCTACTGTTTCCAGTTACATGAATTATATAAAGCCATTCAACAGATATTTTTTTTTCTATCTAGTGAGTCATGGTTTTACTTAATTATTTTTTTAAAATCCTTTACAATTTGCTAAATCATTTAAATTCTCTGGACCTCAGGTACCCCTCTGTCTCTTTTTAGACTCATATCTGCTTAATTGAGATTAGTTAACTACGATCTTCAGGGTCTCTGATTTTACCTCTTACTAGGTAAGGAGTGTGAAGGAATGATCTAGAGATTTGTTTTGGATGAGCTCTCCCTTTAAATGTATGTATGCAAAGGTGCCTAAAGGAGATAAAGAAGTTATTCTGACATTTACTAAAGTGGTAAAGCACTCTTTTAGGACTTTTCCCCTACTTAGGGATTCCTGCCATGGGGATGTTGTAGCTGGGGAGAGAGACTGGGTTCTTCTCAGAAACCAACACAGGCAAATGGAAATTTAAAGCTAAACAACAGGTGTAGTGTATCAGTGGAAAGCCAATCACTGAGAGAAAATATCAGGGATAAGAAGATTCTGGCTCAACCCACCTGACAGGGTCGGAGCTGAAGCAGGCTAGGGCAAGCAGATGGAATCACTTGTGGGGCGAAGGTGGATGAGGAGTTTGATTGGATGGACGAACCCAAGGACAAGGCCGGTGGGCCTCACAAGGATCTGACTAAAGTCTGGTCAAAGAGAGGGTCTTTGGCAGTGGCTGTGATGATAATAAGAACAGAGGAGGAGGAGAAGGAAGAAGAGGAAGGGGAGGAGTAACAAGAGAAAACAAGCCTAGAAGAAGAAGGGTAGACAAA